TTTTTTTTTTTTTTTTTTTTTTTACATATTACACGTACATATAAACATCCTCCAGTCTACTAATTATCAAGTATGAACCTGCTTGTCCTCTTGTACATCGTATAAACGTAGTTGTATCGTGGTTCATTGATAAGGGACAACGTGTGACTTCCTAGAATCAAGATGGACAGAGAGGGGAACAAGCGTCGAGGAAGAATTTACAGCGTCATTTGCCGAAGGAATTATCCTCCCAGAGTCTTTTTCTACCCTTTTCCCGAGAGAGAACGGCCGCGTCCTCCACGGGGAACCGGACCGGAAGATTTACAAGGCTGTTGACCGGTGAAAATGATCGCGTAATTGCGGTCCTGGGCGCTCGCGGCGGATGTAGCGGGCCCTCGGCGGGACGCCAACCCGACTTCCGGTTGCATTAAAGGATTCTGACGATCGATTATTATTAGGGGCGACCCGTATTCGAGGACGTGACGAAGGATATGATTCTTCGTTTGTGATTTATGGATTGATATGGTTAAGTGGATATAGAATGAAATATCGTCGACCATGTGTTCGTGACCTGAGATAAATCAATTTATTAATTTTCGGAGTGTAGTTCCATGATTGATTGGATGATTGAAGTGAATTTGGAATTTTTTTTTAAATCTAGATTGACGGAAATTTAAATTCGAAATTGGAAATTTTTTTTCCGATTTATCTTTTAGATGAGTGAAATGTTGTGTGACCCATATTTGATAATGTGTAAGAACTTTCTTCGTTTGTGATCTATGGATCGTATATTTTTTTTTTCTTGAGAAGTGAAGAGAATAGAATAAAAAATTGCGTATGAAAGAAATAGTTCCTTCTTGCCTGTGCAAGGGACACGTTTTAAAATGATTATTAATTTAGTTTGAAGCGGATTGTTTTCGATATTCGATAAAAACATTTTTTTGTACAGTTGTTGGTAACGTTTTAGCGTTTAAGATGGTTGATTCGACGACCAGCGTTTTGTACATTTGTTGATACTGGTTGTGAACACCCACGAGAAACACGATTTGTAATTTTCTTATTGTATAGTTATTATTTTATAATACACTGATTTGCAGTTAAACTGTGTGATGTTTTATTTGGGAAATAATATCCACTTTCAGGCATGAAAATTTATAATATGTAATAATTTTCAAGATATAAATTTTATAACCTATATTTTAGTAATAAAGGATCTAATCATAATCTGTAATCACTAAAATTAGAGAAATCTAAATCAAGATTAACAGCAATGTAATTTAAATCTTCAAAGAATAATTAATTTCTGAAACAAAAGAATCTAATAATTTTTGCATCACATCTTCATCACACAACTTTTCTTCAAAAAATTCTACAAATTTTCTTAAACTCCAAACAAAAATAATAAAACAAAAATAAAAATCCTCTTTATTTCAAGTTGGAACACGTAGAATTTAAATATTGAAATCTTCTTCCACAACAATTTTGCAAGAATAATAAAACATAAATAATCCAAACTTAACCCCCTCTTTTAATTCTAAACAAAAGAAAAAAGAATTACTTGAAAAGCGTAGTTATCCACAAAAATATCTCTGCAATCGTGGCTAAACAACGCGTTCTAACAAGAATCCCGTTTTCCCTAGGAGCACAATCTCTCGAGCACAACCGTGGTCATTACGCTTTCATCCTGTCCGCGCATCTAGCCGGTTCACCCACGATCAAGAAAATTGAAAATGCAGAGATAAACATGCCGCGGCCTGGCTCTGACTTTGAGGAATAATAACGCGAAACGATCGTCAGCGGCTATAGGTCATTAATGTTTTACGAGCACGTAGAGCGCACAGCTGCGTCCGTTCAATTACAACTAACAGGGGAGCTACGAATACACCTCTTTCTATCTTTCTCTCTCTCTCTCTCTCTCTCTCTCTCCGCATTACAAAGAGATACGAATGCTCTTTCTTTCTCTCCCTGTATACACATCTGCACAGAGTCACGAATGCATTCTCTTTCTCTCTCTGCGTCTGCGCAGTTTCCACCGACCGATACGCGTTTACGTCCATTAATATTAACGGCTTGAAACAACGATAATAGCGGACAACTATAGGGATCCAGAGGTGATTTTCCTTACCTATGTCGGGTGGACGTTACTGTGGTCTCTGAAAGATATGTATATGGAATAAGAGATGCTTTGTTATCGAGTGATTCCATCACGTGTGATAGATATGGAGCGTGATGGATATGGATATTGGAAATAATTGGTAATCGATACCTGTATCTTATTACCGAATTTTGGTTGTATTTATGGAAAGTTAGGGTTTTTTGGTACACGTTTTATTATAGTTTTCGCGTGAATATTCCATAAAATAGTAGGTTGTTGCCGAGTGATTTCGATTGTGATTCTAGCAAATGAATATCGAGCTTCGAATAATCGATATATCGTGTATCGTGTTATTGAATTTTGGTTGAATTTTTAAAGAGGTTATGCTCTGATATCATGTTTCAAGATATTCTGAGAAATGTTGGATGGTGTGATATTGAGCGATTTCATGAAGTGAATCCATAAGATGATTCTTTTGCTTTATTTTGTTTTAACAAATTGATTGAAATTCTTTTTTATGAGATATAATTTAGTTCAAAGTACTTATAAGATGAATATAGTACGCTTCATCAATTCGTTAATTTTATCTTCAAAATTTTTATAGACGTTACAATGTATTTTATTATATACAAGAGAATATGTGAAAAGCAGGACAACAGCACCGGACGTGAGTACACAGATTCTTTCATTTAATGCAAATACATAACACTCGACAAACGTTAAATTGTACCGTTCATAGAGTTAGATATTATCATAGATTTGTTATTCTGCAAAAAGACATAATGACGGAAGTCAAAGATAGCATCTAATTAAGAAATTACATCCTGAAACTAATTAAAACATATAAAAGTTTTTCCATTGTGCATTTTACTCTGAAATCTGTAAATTTTCTCTATTTTCTTCTATCCCTTTTATCTTTATTTTCACATAAAAATGCTCTTATCAAATAATCAAGTTCCTTTAATTGTAATTTTATAAAAATAAAAATAAAAAACTTTACACAATTTTCTTTTTTTTCATTCCTGTCTTCAAATACCTATGATTCAAATTCAAATTCAAAAAGATCTATTGTATATCAAACAGAGATCTTTATTTTATATCCATCAAACTTAAACATATTCTCTTGTATATTATTTAAAATACTTATGTCTTGCTTTATTTTCATTTACATATTTGTCTTATTCTTTACTCTGATCTAAATTAATTATCTAAATCACCTAAAATCTTTTTTTTAATCTGTAAAATGTGAAACTGATAAACTTTACACATTCCTATCTTGAATTTTTCCTAGATTTATTAATATTCAATCCACTTAAATTTACTATTCAAACACTCATGTTACTCTACTTTACTTTTGAAAATTTTTATTCTACAATCAATCAAAATCTCCATTTTCACTCCTATCCTGAATCTATCCAATGAAATTTATCATTCAAACACTTTTGTCTCTATTAACTATTTCACTTTTGGAAAGTTCCAGTTAATCAATTAAAATCTTTTTTCACTCTATAAAATCTAGAAATTGAACTCTTTCCCAGATCCTTAACCTCCCTTAACCTTGTCTTCTATACTATAATAACTATAAATCTGAAACAAGTATCTCAAAAAAAAAATAAATGCTTGCATATTTTACAACTCGCCCCATATTCCATCCACGGATATCGACGAAAATCGCTAGTAACGACCCATAACTCGTCTATTCTCGAGATCCATATATCGTTCTCCCTCGGTTTCTGTGCAAACAGTGAATCGCAAGGACGCGATAGGTCGGGATATCGATCGAGACAACGGCGCTATCGTTGCACGGTAATCTTGGTCCACGGGTGCATATTTCAAGATCGGCATGCGTGAACGATCTCATGGCCGTCGGGTTGCCTTGCGGTCGTGTAACTCACCTTTACAACGTTAATGCGACGGCCACGGAGCTCGGCCTATCATATTTCGCGGCCCAGCTTGCTTGATCGACGAGCCGTGTTTTAATATGCAAATTAAAATGCAAATAATCCGCCTACCCTCTCTCCCTGGGGCGCCCGCTCTACCACCCCTATCGAGACCCGATCCAAGCTGATCGCCATCCCTCATGGTGCAACAGT